TAGGAGGACAAGTTCATGTTGTCAGGCCAGCAGTTTTATCTCTTTTGTGACCATGGCAGCAGTTTTGGTAGTTAGAAGTACAGTGAAAGCTTGTATGTTTATTTTTATATAAAGGCCATGACAGTGTAACCTGGACACTAAGAGAGAGCAGTACAGAATTGTCAGCACAGCAAGCGAGTGTAATGTGAGCCCAACGTGTCTTGTAAAGGAATTACTCGCCAAAGCAGTCTTATTTCACAGTTGTTGCTTGTTATAAATAGTAAGCCAGGCTAAAAAGCCAAATATTTTAACTGACGATGGAAGACAGCCACTGTTCTCTTGTCATGTAATCTTGCATTAAGACATTCTTGAGATTAGCTTTGGTATTTCTGAAATAATTATTCCAGTGGTAGATTACAAAACAAGTCACTGCATCAAGTAAATGGAAGACAGAATTCTGGGGTACAATGTTTTACCTCTCTTCAGCTTCAAACATGCCTCTAAATTTCAGTGAACGCTTCTTACCTGGAAGGGAACACAGTCCCAGGAATTTAGAAGAATACACAGGAGACAAAGACAGCCTTTTGGGGAAGAAAAGAAGGAAAAAAAAAGCCAGAATTAGAGATAACTCACTACCAAGAGATAACTTGCTACCAGACATTCATTTTCTGTGGGACCATGAGAAGAGTTACCTCAATTTTAAGAGTAAAAGCAGAAGAGTTCCAGTGTTATTTCTACAACATCAGGGAAGGGAATCACACATACGGTAGTGTATTTTAGCACACACCCCTTAGCACCGAGACAGTCAGGTTAGCACGAACAACAGCAACTGGAAAACGCTTCCAAAATGTGACCCGGCCCCACACCCGCTGGCAGCTCACCAGCACAAACTTAACCCCTTTACACGGGCACCCTCAGGCCGAGCACCACCTCGGTCCTGGCTCTAGGAGCTCACCAGAGCCCGGCACAGGTTTCTTTCAGGAAAAAACCTCCCGTTTCGCAGGGGAAAACACCCCTTAATGCAAGCTCCCGCTGAGTTTTCCGAGGGGAAAAAAAGACACTCGCGTCCGGACCAGGCCTCACCAGGAGATAGAGAGCGGCCTCGGGTCCTCCTCAGTGGTGTCTTCGTCAGAGGAGGAGTCAAAGCCCCCCAGTTGCATAGCGCAGGGCTGTGACGAGGGAAGAGCGATGGGCTCAGCTGGAGGCCAGGACCCGCCCTGCCCCGTCGGCCGCAGGCAGAGATGGGAACAACAAAACCCTCACCGACTTCACCGCAGCGCTACCCGCCAATGGTTTAAACTGTCCAGGCCACCTCATCAGCCCAGCCCTTCCCTTTGTCCAATGAGAAGCTGCCGCTCACCGGATGCGTGAAAAGCCAAGCTACCGTCTTTACGGCTTCGTGAGACGAGTGTTCTGATTGGTGAGTAGAGGAGGAGGAGGCGGGATTAAAACGAACCTTTGCGCTGATTGACTGAGGCTGTGTGGCGGGAAGGGGCTGTGTCCTGAGTGGCAGGTGGCTCCTAGGAGTGAGGTGCTGTGAGGGCTCTGGCAGGGGCCGGGCTGCTTCCGCCTCCGCTAATTACTTTTTAGAGCTTTTTTCTCGCGTTTCTGACTGGAAACAAAAAAAAACCAACCAAAAAACGGGGGTGGAAGTAGGCTTTCACTGGCTTACTGTGAATTGCTCCCAAATTACCCTCGCCCTTTTAGCCTGGGATGCTGTTCCTAAGATGAGTGTGGTGCTGGAAAGCACCCAGAGAGCATGTAGTATGGCCCAGACTCCTGCAGCTCTGGCCTTATATTTTCATTTGTCTCTGATGTTCGTCCATCTGCTGGGGTGTGCTCAGTGCAGATGTGGTTGGAGGAAAAAGTTGAAAGGGATGGGATGTGCCAGGCCCTTCCTGAGAAGTGGGTCTGTGGGATCAAGAATCTATCCACGCAGGCTGTGACTAAGACATGGAAACAGATGTGAGCCTTCACTTGCAGTGCATGTGAAAGTAGGGATATGCTTAAATTTTGTGGGTTGGAGTGCAGTTTGCTGTCCCTTTTTGTTATTAGCATGGTTTCTGTGTGTGGCTGTGGCCTTCATGGGTGCGGGGGTGTTTTCAGGGGGCTCCCAGGTGCCCTGCAGAGGTTTTGGGTGGTCAGTTCTGGATGCAGAGAAAATAGGACTTTCTAAAAGCATTTCTGGCTTATTATGTCAGTAACTCTGGCCACTAATTATTAGGAAAAATCCATATATTGACAGTAAGGATTTTTGTTTTAAAAATTGTATTCGGGCGTTTCTACAGTCTGTACTTAGACATGTGTAGAACTATGTTGTGAAGGAGCCAGGCACAAACAGAGATTTTTGGCATCGATCTAGAAGATGATGTATGGTCATGGTGATGTTCAAAGAAGTTGTTTGAAGTCAAAAGAACAGTTGTGTGCAAATTCCTTAAGTGGTTGGAATTTGGTGGGATTCCCAATGGGGCCAGTGCAAGATCTCCAGGTATGGAGATTTTAGGTTTTAGTTCTACGTTAGTAGCATGAGTTCTACAGCTGGAGGTTTTAATGAAACCTGCGTGAGGAGGATTGTGGAAGCAAATTGCTTGGCATCGCAGGATTTAGGGTATGTTCAGAGAATGAAGAAGCAGATCATGAGGGGATCAGAGAAGACCAGTTTATTAAAATCCAGAATATGATAGCAGATGTACAAAGAAATACATTACTGAGCATAATGGAGAATTAAAACAATGCAGATGTTGCTGACTAAGATGAGAAACGGGAAGAAATACATCCTAACAACCGAGGCAACATGAGGATAGCCAGCCACTCTATCTGCAAACATCATTTTATTAACTCCTACAGCCCCTGCATGAAGGAACAGGTATGTTGTCTGTTTCTGTTCCTCATCTTTTTAGCTCTGGTCCCCTTAGAGATTTTCTGTAACAGTTGTGCTATTTGATATGGATGTGAAATTTTCCGTATTTCCCCCCCCAGGATTGATTTTGCCTATTCATGTGAAAGGCATTGCAGATTTTAACTCTGAGGATTTTAGCTTTATGGAAGCAGCGACGCAAGACGGATGAATACAAAAAAATAGCAATAATGATTATGCCCCTGGTTGTTCTTTGAAAAGATCAAAGCAGTTTGGGTGCCTTCATGTGTTAGAAATCAGTATGGTATTGCATGGAGTCTAAAATGGCAATAGCGACTGGTGATGCCAAAGAGTCTGCAGAATGTGAGGCTACAGCTTGGGGTCTGTTGTGGCAGAAATGAGTAGGTATAGTATCCATGCGTGAACCCTGAAGTAAATGTAGGAAAAAGATTGGGGAAAAACCCCCAAAACCAAACCTGAGAAAGTAATTTGTTAATAATATTCTTCAAGTTTAGAGGAAAAAAATTCCTTGACAACAACAATCAATAAGAATTTGAGTGGTAAGTTTGTTTTCACATGGTAGCTGCTTGGGATTATGTTTTTTTGTTTGGCTTTTTGCTTTGAGAGAGATAATAACGCTTATGTTACATGACATACTTATGCCTTTGATACAGTAATAAATACCCTTCCAGAGATAATAAATAATTAAATAATTTACAGTGAAGAGGGTCAAACAGCAAGATTTTCCAAAGAGCCCTATGTCCTGGGCTTTAAATACAAGTATGTAGAATGGATCTGTGGTCTGGCAGCAAAATCTGTATACAGAATTTGTAATGTAAGAAAGTAGTGTATGAAAATCCAGATGGGTCTGGTGGGTTAGCTAAGAATTTTCTCCTGGGTTGGTAAGTATCATGATTCCTGCAAAAGCAAGCCTGTTCAAGCAAACCTATCTATATTTCAGGTCATTTTTCTGGTCTTATTTCTCAGCAAACAGTCAAGCTCCTGAGACCCAGCTGGCTTTCAGATGTGACTCTGGTTATACCTGGCTCTCATGTCTGTGTTCACCAAACCAAAACCAAATGTAAGGTCTTTATACCTGAGTTCCTAGCTTTTTGTGCCAGTAAACTGTTAAAATTCCAATGGCGAAATATGGTTTTATAAAGCCTAACTTGGTTTTGCTTTCCTTGGGTCAGGGGAAGAGCCCTCAGCCCTGGGGACAGTGAAGTGGTTCATGTATGTAGTATCTTCTGCCTGCTATTCTGCACTCAGGTGTCCCAGACAAAATAAAGAATTAATTTAGTTCAGGTGGGAGTGAATTAGTGTGTGTGTAGCAGAGAGAGCTAGGGACTAGTGTGGAACAAGGAGTGAATGAACTTGATGGTATATAATCTTAGCGTGTATCTTGTTAAAAGCGATGTTCTTTTCCTGCAAGGAGCAAAAACTAGATCTGCGATATCCAAACCATCAAAATAATGTTAAGATCATCGGTAACGGATTATTCCAAACAAACACACGTAATGCCAAAGACTTGTTAGTCACCTCTCATCTCATATCTCAGTTTCTGGAAGTTGCGTTTTAGTAAGACTGATTGATACAGGCAGTGTCCCAAGAGATGCACTGTAATGTCTTTGGGAACACTCCACTGGTGATATCACCGGAAGATCCCATGGGGCATCATTTCAATATTCCAGATTGTTGTTTTTGGAGGGGAAAAAATAATAGGTGGAACAGAATTTCAAAATTTTCAAGCATATTCTCTTCCCCCCTTGACTTTAAATTGTGTGTTTGTAGAAAACCGAACCACTACATTATAAGCTTTAGGTTGCACCTCACAATGAAGATATGAATGGAAAATTCTTGTTACGTGAGATAAAATTGTGTGATGTTTGGAGAAACAGTTCTAACTTGAGACACAAAAGAATATTTTAGAATTACAACCACAGTTGTGGGAGATTCTATATGTTTTCCACATAATTACTTAGTTTTTCAGCTACACTTCAGTAGGTTATGTTAGGGTTTTATTCTAAAACTGTGCCAATAGAACACTGACAGAGATATTTGTGAATGGTGATTGCTTGCTCCAAGCCAAAGTGTTTGCTGAAGACAGATTCTTTGCAAAATACGCTATTTCTAAATAACAAAGCTGAAGCTCTGTGTAGCTCTAACTCCTACTTGTCTATTGGATTAATAGACAGAACTGAGATTTGACTGTGTTGTTGAGTAACTGCTGAGGACACAGGTAAATGCAACAGTATTCTGTGCAGCGTTATAGTGGTTACTGACAATTGTTAATGAACTCCTACATTTCTAGGCAGGGTGTAGCCTTGCTTTTATTGAGACTAATGCCATAAGTGTCACTGGGATCAGGATATTTTGACTTGCAGTTTAAAAAAAATCCCTGTTTATTCTGGATTGAAATGTGAAGCTTTTTATAACTGCTAAGAAAGTCTGGTGCTATTTGGAGTTGAGAATTCTGCCACTCTGTGCAGTTGACATGAGATGGTGCATGTTTCTTGTCTGCCCCTCTTTTATCACGATTCTATCATTTTTATATAGACATATATATATATTTTTTCTGTTTGTGTTAAATACACAAAAATTAGACCTGATGTGGTAAAGAAAGTCACAGTAATGGTACTTTTTGTTTTGTTTCCATGAATTGTCGTTTCTACAGTGATCTGTTCATGACCTTGAAGAATCCTATTTTGACAGATACGATTATTTGAAAGTAAGATTTTCCCTACTTTATGATTCCTTTTGTATTTCAGACTGAAATAGCCTGTTAAATGAAGTAAAAATATTTTAAAATAAGTTTTTACCACAGTGTGGTTTGATTAAAACTTGGCAGTATGAACCCTACCAGAATGCAAGTAATAATCCCAGTTAATGGCAGCAATACAGCAGATGAGACTGCAACAGTTGTGTCTTACTACTCCAAGCAGATAATTTGTGGATATTTTTATTTCACTGTGCATGCAGCAGCATACTTGCCTGTGCAGTTACTTGATTTACAAGGGATAAAGTCACATTTGCAGCAAATACAGTGTTGCCTGTGGAGCTGAGCTTCAAAAGTCAGTCATTGGCTTGACAAATGAAATGAGTATTTTTTATTCTGACTTACATGTGGTCATGTAGATCTTGTTCTTTTCATCATGACTACTACTTGTTCTTTAGTATCATTCAAATATCCCTTAATGTCTAACAATAATTACTGTAAAATTGTTGAGAGCTTTGAAGGCCAAGTCTCCGACTGATCAGGTCGCCACATTTGGTGACTATCCTGGTTTACACTAACTGGAGACC